TGAATAATGGCTTCTTTAATATGAATCTTGAAGATCGCTTTATGGCATGCCCCGCTCGTGATGTCTTTTATCCCGCAATTTCATATTTGTGATGATTCGGTATTACGTCCTTGTCTGCGCTCCATGTCTCGTTTGTTATGTACATTCGAGTATCTTTAAAGTTCTTTATGTATCTTTACTGACTGTTCTTTCTCTTGCTCTCTCTCTCTCTCTCTCTCTTTCTCTCTCTCTCATTTTCTCCCATTCTTTCTGCGTCATCTTTCTCCATCTCTCTCTCTCTCTCTCTTCTTTCCGTCTTTTTTTCTCTCTTCTATAATAAATTCTTCACTATTCGCTCTATCGGTGTTAATCTCTTTCTATTCCCGTTTATGTCTATCACAATACTCTCATCATCCCCTTTCTCTCTCTCTCTCTCTCTCTCTCTATCTCGCTCCCTCCCTCCCTCTCTCTCTCTTCTCTTGCTGTGCATTCCGTTGTCTGAATACGTTCTTTTTACAAATTGCACAATCGCACATAACTTATTGAAGAATGTCACGATACAAAACACATCTTCGAAATTAAACAATATTTCTCATTTCCCGACCACTTATCTGGTTTTTGTATATTTGATACTCTTTGAAAATACAGGATGCAAACATCTTTGCGTCGTATAATAGCCTCGAGTATTAATTCTCAAAAGATAATTATTCATAATTTTTTGGTTCTAAAACCGCCATTTGTATTTTTATTTCAAAATATCTTCACATCTTACATCATGTGTTTTGTTGGCGTTTCTCATTTTTCCATTCCCCCTTAGGTAGCTTATCTCGAAATGTTTGATTCAATTAAGTTATACCATCGAGATCACCACGGAGACTGACGTGCATAAAAAAACAATGAAAAGAGAAGGTTAAAAAAATAGAAATGTTATATGTATACTTTTATATTTGTCAAAATAACGCCTCAAGGCATTTTGTTTTCATCGAAAGAGTATGTCTATGTTCCTCACATGCGATACAGTGGGATAAAATATAATTCAATTTATTAAACACCTTTTCTGCGGGTTTTTTGCAATCTGATTAAATTTCTGAACAAGATACTCGTATCTTTATCGACTGTTATTGGTATTCCTTCCTATTTCCTCTGTCTTCGATTTCGATATAATTTCTTTATTGTATCATCTTAAAGACTTAGGAATAAAGATACTCGTATCTTTATCGACTGTTATTGGCATTCCTTCCTATTTCCTCTGTCTTCAATTTCGATATAATTTCTTTATTGTATCATCTTAAACACTTATGAACAAAACACTTCGGGGTAACTTCCTTCTATCATTATCTACCATTGCTCATTCTAAACATATTCAAATACTTTCACTTTCTTTTTTTTGTTCAATCATATTTCCTCTCTTCTAATCTTGCTTTATTCCAATGAAGCAAGAAGAGGTAATATTATTATTCGAATATTTCTTTTCCATATTACGACAAAATCGTTCTACTGTCCAAAGGCTGGTCGATTTCCATATTTCTTTCTTTCGACCTGTCAAGATTGGGCTATATTAACTATTGAGGTGCAGATGTACGAATCCTAGGGTGACTTATAGAAATAATCCCAAAGCATATATAATGGATTTTATCCCCTCGCACTTTATAATCCCGTTGATGCCTCATAACTGTTGTCAATTTTCTGCACTTATAGTTATACCGTGAGAGCATAATAAAGATCAGAATCATCTGACAGGTTGAGGCGAGTAAAATATTCGTTGCAGAACTGGACCAGTGGCGTAACTACATAGAGGACAAGGAGAAGCTAGGTCCTCCAGCCAATGGTGAAAAAGGAGAAAGAGTGATTTTTTTTATCAGAAGGAGAGATATGGAAAATATGAGAAGGTGAACAGAAAGCGGTAAGAAAGATGACAAATCCCCTCCCTACCTCCCTCCCCCGATCGATGACCTTCTTGTCACCCAGTTAGACTGGTAGCCCCCCCCCCCCCCCCAGTGCCCTCTTAGAGGCTTGACCCATGATACGCCACCGACCCGAACACTTTGATTTCATTTCATACAAAGCAAGATACTCAGAATTCTAAGCAAATGTGAATGTTAAATTCTCCTATAGCATAGTGTGCAGGAAATTGAAAATGGTTTAAGTCCATCGTTGTGATCTAAATTGTTGCCTTTTTTTCCCTCTAGCCCATCTCTCTCTCTCTCTCTCTTTCTTTCTCTCTCTCTGTCTCTCGCTCTTTCTGTTTTTGTCTCCGTCTCTCTCTTTCTCTCTCTTTCCGTGTCTATCTCTCTCTTTCGCTCTCCGTCTCTCTCTGTATCTCTCTGTCTCTCTCTGTCTCTCTCTTCCTACAAACATCATGATAAACATTGGACTTCACTTTACACAGTTTCCTCCTCATTATATAGAGACATTCATATCGACTCGACATGACTTTTAAAATCGAAATCACATACGAATGAATTCATCCGAGCTGACATATTTCACTGAAGATATTCTTTGAACGAGGGGATGTCGATGCTCCTTGTGTAGTCCATATTGGTTGTCATGACGACCAAGGATAACAATAAATCTCGAAATGCCGCAAAGCCTTTGTGTGCCCAAACATCGATATCTATAAAGTAGCTTCGTGATTACAGGGTGAGCTTCATCATTGCCTTCGCAAAGATTTTAAAATGTGACAGATATAAAGTCAGTGGCGAGGATACATGTTAGTGCGAGATAGCTTTGGATTACTGACAGTAATTTATTCATGAAAAAAAATCACACTCCTCTGGTGTATCCAAGGGTGGAATCCTCCTCGGCAAAAAAAGTGTGTGTGTGTGGGGGGGGGGAGCAGCTCATGTGCAGTTGCCATAGGCCTTGTGCTATATTTCCAGGCTTTCAACAGGAGAGGGAAAAGGCGGGGGTGGGGGTACCGTCCTGGGTTAAATACCCCCTCCCCTTAGCTTTCATCACTTAACCTCTTCTATTATATCTCACTCTACATTGTTATATATCCTTAGGCCGAAGTGATTCAAATTGAAACGAAGTATACAGTTTAATATAAAAATACATTTAAAGTAATCACCTCTACAGATGATTTATACAATTATATATTCAATTTTCATCAAGATTCCAAGTTGACAGCAAGAAGGATTTGGACTGTTCATTTACATGTAGAATGTTACCCCACTATCTGCTTTGCATTTTAATATAAACAAATTCGTAAACATTTAGGATCAATGTGTGATTTGTACCTAACCATTAAAAAAAAGATTCAATTTCTATCCTGAATAACACTGTATTGAATATTTACAGTTGAAAACAATAATATTGGTTAAAACTGTTCACTGTCTGTAATCCCAACGTCAACAATACTGTATTTATTTGTTATTCTGGAATATTGTTAACTACTTGTAAACGAAAAGAAATCCCTGTTCAAGTAAGTAATTTGATTAAGGAACAGGTTGAAATAAAGATAAACTTCTTTCAAACGTTTCATCACTTTAAATGTGAATATAGTCATATCTCTATGATTACATATCCATATTTAACCTATATTCGTACCAAAATCCCTATAAGCGAATCGGTTTCAGATATCACATGGTGGTCTGCAATTTGTTTTTGTCTACCAGTTGGAACTCGCTGCACCCTTAAGCCAACTCCTCTTCCACCCCATCCCTAGCCCCCGGGAAAACGCCCAAAGTCAGGCGTCATAACTAACACCTATGATAATCAGACGGGCTGCATAATCTCCCCGTGCACGCGCTGCCAAAAATTGATATTCCCAAATTGAAATGAAAGGGCAGGTGTCGCCAGAAACTCGTGGCGATAATTATACGGACTCAGGTTACAAGGTAACTAGGTGAGAAAAGTGTCGAGAATGTGTAATTACTCGCGACCGCGCTCACGGGGAAACCCGTCACTGCGCGAAAAAAGACTTACAGACGATTGACATAAATCTATTTTCCCGCGCAGTGGTGGAAAGGCGGGAAATAACAGAAATGATGCGGGGAGAAGGGGGAGAGGGAGAAAGTGAAAGCTAGGAGCATGGCCGTGGAGGAAAGTGAGATCGAGTTTTGAGAGGAAATCGACCATTATCGATAATCTTGGGGCGAGGAAATGGGCTTGGTAAACAAGCCATGATAAAGGAGAAAATGCAAAGCTGCGGGCGATAGGCTGGCTGATAGCGCGGAATTACCCCGTCTCGTATAGAAGGATGAAAGGATGATGGAAAAAGGAACGGATGGATGAGTTTGGGGAGAAAGGGATAGTTTTCTGGTCTTCATGATGAAGACATCTTTGCAGAATACGATGAGGTTGAACAATTTTCAACTTGGATGAACTAAAACTGAATGCTGATTTAAATGAGAGTTAAAGAAAAGACACACTTATACAAAACGTCGCGTCGGTGCAATAACGCCCTTACGCAACGCGAGCGTGCGCCGTAACGGAGAGAGTGCTTGAACGTTAATCACAGGAAGTATGAATTTTACCTAAAAGCAGTCATTGATTGTTTGATAAATCAATGTATCATATCAAGATGGGGAGAAAATACTGTCCAAAAAGAGCAGCCATAATATAAAAACTAGGTTTTGATTAGAAACATCTTTAAATACATGATTTCTGTGAGGGGCTTTATTGCGCTGAATTCATACGCATGTGTAATCTACGCAAGAAGGGCGTTCATTAACAATGGCTTTATTGCATCGCCTAATGCGCGCTTTTGAATTTGCGCAAGAAGGCCCTTGCCTATACGTACAGTACACAGAAGGGCTTTATTGCATGGTGCGCGCAATGTGCTTAGCAGATTTTTCTGCTGTTTTTCTATTTCTCTTTTTTTTATTTTTTATAATAAAGGTCTTTTTTTTCCTGCCTGCATGAACAAAATTCACGGATAGACTATGTAATAACTACTTGTGTATGTTCGTCCGTCCGTATATGTGACATTTTGGATAAAGTTTGATAAATTATTGATGCTCATTTTCCCAATCTTCAATCAATTTTGATCAAACTTGATTGGGTTTTGTAACAGGTATGGCGTGTACAAGGGTTGTGTCCAAGCTCATAATCTGCAGTCATAGATCGTTAAATGTAACGATTTTGATAGTCTTTCTCTTTTATTACTGCTCAGTTCTTCTTTCATTATTGATCTACCTGAATTCTTTTCACGTAATAATTATAAGGTTCAATGATCGCGATATTAGACCTTTGTTTTTATCAGTTTTCTATTGATTACGTGATTGCCTATCTTTTATTATAATTAACCACATGAAAAGGTAGAATCAAATAACATGTCTTTTGTTCAGTACCCTCCCTCTCCCTCTCCCCCTCTCCCCCTTCTCTCTCTCTCTCTCTCTAGATTTGTCATATTTTTTCTTCCTTTCTCTCTAAATTAATAATAAATCTTGTCTTTTCTCACTATGCAAAATCTCATTCATACTCATTTTATATTACACACATAATGGAAACACAATACAATCTTGTATTAAACAAGTAGTGAAAGTGTTTATTTCAAAACTTGTTGAAAATTCAAAACTGTTGATAAATCACAGAATGTATTTGACTTATGCCGTGTACATTGTATCTAATCCATAAATAGAATGACAGTAACACCTATGCTTTGATATAATATAAATTTGACATTGGTGGCTACACATTATGTAAAATAATCATTATTATTATCACATTTCATTGGCAGTCAGTTTGAAAGGCTTATCTTTGTTGAATAGAAGAAAATGATGTATGAAAGTCTTCAAAGTATAAGTTTCTAGAAAACTATCTTATTAGAAAATACATGGACTGCTAAAGTTCCAGATTGAGAGTTTTGAGATTCGAATTTCAGTTACTAGTCTTATTATAGACTCTTCTGCTGCATGTTTTTACTCCAAATTAATAGTGTCCACATATTTGAACGATTCATTCATAAATACATTAGTACTGATTATCACTGGCAAAGAATTTCAGTCACACAGTAATTTTAACTAGACTCTTCTACTACATTTCTCCAACTTAATAGTATTTAAATATATTAACAATTCATTCATATTATAAATACTGATTAAATATACAGATACTAGTCTAATTATAGTCTCTCCTGCTGCATGTTTTTACTCCAAAATAATATTATTCACATATTTGAGCAATTCTCTCATAAATAAATACATTAGTACTGATTATTACTGGCAAAGAATTTCAGTCACACAGTAGTTTTACTGACTAGAATTTTCTACTGCATTTACTCCAACTATATAGTATTTACAGATCTCAACAATTCATTCATATATATATATATATATATATATATATATATAGGCCTAATAAATACTGATTATCATCATCAACAAACTTCTGTTACCCACTATATTTATGTTAAAGACTCTTCTACTGCTATTCACTTCAATAATAATAGCTTTAATAATATTTTAAAATTTCAGCAATTCATTCACAAATACACAACTACTGATCGATGGCATAGAAGGAGCTCAAACAATGCAACCAGGCAGACTTAACTGTTTCACATTTGTAACATATAATACTCGCTCATAAAACATGTCAATTAATTATGTACCTGTTCATATAATTTTTTATTGTTATTGCTACAGTGTATGTTCTTGTCCACATACAATATACAAATATACTTTCAGTATACCACACAACTTTTTATGAACGGTTATATTCCCTTTCCAGAAGGTAATTTCTACTTTTAATGGTTATAATTATGCATTATGAGAGATGATCATTAGCAAGTATCATTTTCATTAAAAATGCAAGTATTGCTACTGAATGCTGCATTTGTAAATAATGGGGGACCTTTTACTTGAAGTGACACTTCATGCATTTCAGATGATGATTACCTTCACATTCGACAAGTATTTAACTGAACACTTGTAAATCTCTTCTGAGTTGTAACCTGGAAGCTATAGATAAATGCACTTCTATTAACCAGACTCTTTGGAAATAGATAACCTATTTTAACTTCAAGTGAGAGAAAAATAGATTTGCACAATTAAATCACATCATACAGGGTCATAACTTACGTTGCTGTGTAGAAAGACGTTGTGTAGATATGTTTTGTCAAATGGAAATATCTTGTACAATACATATTATACGCAAGAACTACAATAATAGTTGAACCTTACTTACATTGGCAATTCATTCAGAAACAAAACATCATGTTGTTACCACAAAGACTAGTATGTGAGGACAATTTTTCATCCATGCTATATATATTAAGCACTTGTACCTGTATTTGGAAGTTGAAGAAATGTGCTACTTATCAGCATCATACAAATGTTCACGTTCACTTTAAGAAGCAATGGCAAAAGTTGTAGGCCTCAACATGTGACCAAATTATTCAAAACTTTAATCAGACCTGAAAAGCATAACTATAAATGAACATACATGTACTTCTGTTATCAGAATATCAGTTGTGTATTATGATCTTGTATGTTATGAATATCTAATATCTTCTGTACATAATATTATGGCAAGGATTTTCCAGTGGAAATTTCATCAAGTGAAATAAGAGAAGAGAGCATAATGAAATTCCTTTCAGTGAATAAGAATATTTTACTACATGAATGTCAAATTCATTGAACCATATAGCAGCAATTTTCAATATGCACTTACAAGTCGACTGTAAAAATTATTCTTTGAAAGGATTCTACATTTTCTTGACATTTCGAAAAACCATCAGAGTAAAAGATGTTTTTGATATTAATATCTCTAAAAGACAAGATAGATGAAATTTGTGGATTATATGATTATTTTTAATGACAAGGCAGGAAAAAAAAACCTTCAAGGATATCAACAAGTATTGTTGTGAGATACAAAGGTTTCATCAAGCATTTTCATTAAATATTTGCACCGATCTGTTGAAATCACAACAAGATCAACACATAACAGTACAACAGCAGTATGGTTGCATGCTAAACTTACATGCAAGTTACTCTTCATTAGGCATCTCATCTGGGATACTTTGTGAAGACAAGTTCTTATAAAAAGAATGATATATACTGGAATGACTAAGCTCTTGCAAAGTCCAACAAGATCATCCTTCTCGCAAAAGAGATACACTGCTGCAACTGATACAAATTCTGAATTTGCAATTCTTTAAATCGCTGGCAAGATCCTGAAAAAACCATCTCTATGAAATCTGCACCAATCTGTTGAAATCACAACAAGATCAACACATAACAGTACAACAACAGTATGGTTGCATGCTAAACTAACACGCAAGTTACTCTTCATTAGGCATCTCATCTGGGATACTTTGTAAAGACAAGTTCTTATATAAAGAATGATAGACACTGGAATGACTAAGCTCTTGCAAAGTCCAACAAGATCATCCTTCTCGCAAAAGAGATACACTGCCGCAACTGATACAAATTCTGAATTTGCAATTCTTTAAATCGCTGGCAAGATCCTGAAAAAACCATCTCTATGAAATCTGCACCAATCTGTTGAAATCACAATAAGATTAACAAATAACAGTACAACAACAGTATGATTTCGGTGCCCCAATCCCCTCTGGACTCCTCTTACTTCTTTCCATATCATTCATGTAGAATATATGGAAACTGCAAGTCAAATAAACCTGAGAGCATTTACGCATGGACCCTTATGATACAACAGACTTACTGTTGAACGAGAACCATCACCATCACTGCCGGGAGTTGATGCACTGGAAGCCTCCATGTCGCCACCATCCATTTAAGAAGCATCCATGTTGTGGCCATTAGGAGCTGGAGTAGAAGCATTCATGTTGTGGCCATTAGGAGCTGGGGTAGAAGCATTCATGTTGTGGCCATTAGGAGCTGGAGTAGAAGCATCCATGTTGTGTCCATTAGGAGCTGGAGTAGAAGCATCCATGTTGTGTCCATTAGGAGCTGGAGTAGAAGCATCCATGTTGTGGCCATTAGGAGCTGGAGTAGAAGCATCCATGTTGTGGCCATTAGGAGCTGGAGTAGAAGCATCCATGTTGTGGCCATTAGGAGCTGGAGTAGAAGCATCCATGTTGTGGCCATTAGGAGTTGGAGTAGAAGCATCCATGTTGTGGCCATTAGGAGCTGGAGTAGAAGCATCCATATTGTGGCCATTAGGAGCTGGAGTAGAAGCATTCATGTTGTGGCCATTAGGAGCTGGAGTAGAAGCATCCATGTGATCACCTCCTACTTGCATTTCAGAATGTATTGCCTCAACAATCAAGGCTAGGGTGGGGTCGTTCTGTAATAAGAAACAAAAAGGATAACATGATTTTAATGGTTTCAGAGTTTCATTTTAGGGGTAAAAATACTTCCCTTGATATAAAACTATTAATGTTAGCATGAAAATGTATATACCGCGATGTATTTATATCAAATTCGAATTTGATCATATTATTAAAGCTACATATCTTCAATTTACCCACACATGTTGTTCTTTTTTTTAAAGCTGAGATGTGCTAGCAGTTTGCTTCCAAACATGTCATTGATGCCAACAAGAACTTGCTCCATATGTACTGCTAAAGTATCCAATTATAAAGTACTGTAATGTGATCCTGCATGATAAGCATTCACTTTATTACTTTTTGCAATTCTTAATGTACCCATGAGGAAAACTAGATGGAATTCGACTGCGCGCAGTCGAAAATGATGCCTCCGTCATAGAGCAATTTTACAAACCAAAACAGAAGAAATTTTTCAAATTCAAGTTCAATTGTAATCCATTAACAGGTTCTCAGAATATCGTGATTACAAACAATTTCTCATATACATATATGACCCTTTGAACTTTGACCTCATGATCCTAATATCTACTCAGCTCATTGGCTCTGCAAGATATCTAGAGTTAAATAGTAATCCATCTGTCAGTTCTAATGAGAATGCGTTCACAAGCTATTTTTGCATACATAATGAGCCCATGACCTTGGACCTTATGAACCAAGAATCTACACAGTTCATTGGCTCTGCAAGATACATAAATGATCTAAGTTTGGCAGGAATCCATCAATCTGTTCTAATGATAACGCGATCACAAGCTGTTTTTGCATACATAATGGGCGCTGTGACCTTTGACCTTTGACCTCGTTACCCAAAATCTAATAAGTTCATCGGCTCTGCAAGTAACATACATGACCTAAGTTTGGCAGGAATCCATCAATCGGTTCTTGAGATAACGCGATCACAAGCTGTTTTTGCATACATAATGAGCCCTGTGACCTTTGACCTTTGACCTCGTGACCCCAAAATCTAATCAGTTCATTGGCTCTGCAAGATACATACATGACCAAAGTTTGGCAGGAATCCATCTATCGGTTCTTCAGATAACGCGATCACGAGCCGTTTTGCATACATAATGAGCCCTGTGACCTTTGACCTTTGACCTCGTGACCCCAAAATCTAATCAGTTCATCGACTCTACAAGATACATACATGACCAAAGTTTGGCAGGAATCCATCCATCGGTTCTTCAGATAACGCGATCACGAGCTGTTTTTGCATACATAATGAGCCCTGTGACCTTTGACCTTTGACCTCGTGACCCCAAAATCTAATCAGTTCATCGACTTTGCTAGATACATATATGACCAAAGTTTGGTAGGAATCCATTGATCCGTTCTTCAGATAACGTGATCACGAGAACGGGACGTACGTACAGACGTACGTACAGACGTACGGACGGACGGACGGACGGACGGACGGACGGACGGACAACCCGAAAACATAATGCCTCCGGCTACTTCGTAACGGAGGCATAAAAAAGCACACAAGAAATTATCTTACCAAAAGTTCAATATGATTCTCACAGTGGTCATCCTCCATAAAGTGTTTTGCACACAAAAGTGACATGCATAAGACGCATGCAGCAAAAATGTCCTCTCTGCAATTAGTATGCACGCATCTCTTGTGGTGTTCATTCCCTGTCATTTCTGTTCATTCAAAATAAATGATAAACAAGGAAAAGACAATAATCTTGTGAAAGTTGTGAATAAATTAAATTTGTATTAAAAACAAAGTATGTTTGGCTGGTCATGGAAGCAAAATTAAACATGTGTGGAGTACTCGCATCTTCCTTATTCTTCAACTATCAAACTGCCTGGAAATCATACTTGTTACTTCCAAGCTCTTCAGTAATACAGTCCTGGTACAAAACGATGTGGTTTGAATATCAGGAAATCTATATTAATACAACTATTTCTCTTAATGACATCTTTATTTAAGAAATGGATAAAGGCAAATTTGGGCCAGTATTATCTGTAGAAGTGAGGAATTTGACCAAAGTAAAAAATATAATTATGCTTTGAATTCAGATTATAACTACAATGTATAGCTATTGTTAGAAAACTGGTATTATAGTACATTTAACTGTGTGGCATACAAATAATATTAGATGAATCTAAATGATACTAAAATAGAAAGATACCTCAAACCACCAAAAACTTGGTCCTTTGAATATTAATTTTGCAAAAAGTAATGTGAATGATGTTTTAATTATAATGTGTACAATATTACAGTGTGACAATTAAAGGTGAAAACAAAAATCAATGTCCCATTTGCTGTAAAACACATACCAATTAAATGATATTGTCGCATGCAGATTTACAATGACTGATATTTTCTATAATTAAAAATATAATGTACACCTCCAGATATTGTAAAGAATGTTTGTTAATTGCTTACCATTATGGACTAGGTGCTTTAGAGGCATATCATCGGGATCAATGACATCATTTTGCACTGAGGCAAAATAGGGAACTGTGTTGACACTATCAGCATCCTCTAAAAGAGATAATGTATATAAAGTAAGATTAATCTTTTGATGGCTAACACTTACAATGACTGATATTTTCTATAATTAAAAATATAATGTACACCTCCAGATATTCTAAAGAATGTTTGTTAATTGCTTACCATTATGGACTAGGTGCTTTAGAGGCATATCATCGGGATCAATGACATCATTTTGCACTGAGGCAAAATAGGGAACTGTGTTGACACTATCAGCATCCTCTAAAAGAGATAATGTATATAAAGTAAGATTAATCTTTTGATGGCTAACACTTACAATGACTGATATTTTCTATGATTAAAAATATAATGTACACCTCCAGATATTCTAAAGAATGTTTGTTAATTGCTTACCATTATGGACTAGGTGCTTTAGAGGCATATCATCGGGATCAATGACATCATTTTGCACTGAGGCAAAATAGGGAACTGTGTTGACACTATCAGCATCGTCTAAAAGAGATAATGTATATAAAGTAAGATTAATCTTTTGATGGCTAACACTTACAATGACTGATATTTTCTATAATTAAAAATATAATGTACACCTCCAGATATTCTAAAGAATGTTTGTTAATTGCTTACCATTATGGACTAGGTGCTTTAGAGGCATATCATCGGGATCAATGACATCATTTTGCACTGAGGCAAAATAGGGAACTGTGTTGACACTATCAGCATCCTCTAAAAAGAGATAATGTATATAAAGTAAGATTAATCTTTTGATGGCTAACACTTACAATGACTGATATTTTCTATAATTAAAAATATAATGTACACCTCCAGATATTGTAAAGAATGTTTGTTAATTTCTTACTATTATGGACTAGGTGCTTTAGAGGCATATCATCGGGATCAATGACATCATTTTGCACTGAGGCAAAATAGGGAACTGTGTTGACACTATCAGCATCCTCTAAAAAGAGATAATGTATATAAAGTAAGATTAATCTTTTGATGGCTAACACTTACAATGACTGATATTTTCTATAATTAAAAATATAATGTACACCTCCAGATATTGTAAAGAATGTTTGTTAATTTCTTACTATTATGGACTAGGTGCTTTAGAGGCATATCATCGGGATCAATGACATCATTTTGCACTGAGGCAAAGGAGGGAACCGTGTTGACACTATCAGCATCGTCTAAAAAGAGAGAACTCATATTCAATACTTGTTTTGCTGACTAGCGATTGCAGAGTTGAGAAAAAGAGGGATGAATGGGAAATGTTTTCTTTTCCTCATTCAATCATATGAAATGTATTTTATGTAAGATTGATGTTTTAATGGCTAACATTTTCAATGACTGATATTTTCTACAACTCAAAATAATGATATATAAGTTACCTAATGATGTACGATGAATCACTTGAAGTACCTTCCCTGCCCACCAACGCCCACGTTCATCTTTCATCTTCACGTTGGTCCCTTTCCTTAATGGATTCTTCTAAAAGAACAAAACGTCTTTCGAATCCACATAGTGCCTGGATCCATCCCTTTTCCATTGGATGAGCAGGTCTATACCATTTGTTTCAGCTGTAAACAAAAAATAACAGAAGTCAATTTAACAAATTTGAATTGTTCAGCTATGTGGTGTTGAAAAGATTTGAAATCTACATTCCAATAGTACCCTAGTCTGCACACCAACACTTTTCATACAAAAATGAAAAATAATAAACAAGAATCTAAAACTAGATACCTGCGTGACTTGTTCAAAAATATTCGGAAGATTGATGCAAAAAATCTGAACAACTCACATTTAACACCTCTCTGCTTGGCTAGAACATTGATGTGCAAGTATGTGCACCCCATTCAATTTTATGTACATCCAATTTGCAGCCATTAATTGTGAGATTTATAAAAACTACAAAAGTTGCATAACTCTGTTGATTATAACATGACACGGAATGGCAAATTCGTTTCTTAGAAAACCGTCTGTTGCGTCTTTTCTTCCATCGCAATCACACATTAATTAATGCAGTTTAATAATGACAAAAAAATGATTATTATGTTAGACCTAGGGTCTACTTAGATCTAGTCTAGAATCTAGATAGACGTCTATAATATATAGACCTCTAGTACAGACTAGAGCGATCTAGACCCTAGATCTAGACTAGATTAGATTTAATGAAACAAAATGATGGACATGCACCTCATATTATTTCACCTTTAATCATAACCATATGATTTTTGTTATAATATAGATCTAGGGCTAGGCCTAGATCTAGTCTAAGCGAATGTTCATAGATTCTAGACTCTAGCTACATCATACATGTTTGGATTTAATGAAACAAAATGATAGACATGCACCTCATATTAATTCACCTTTAATCATAACCATATGAATTTTGTTATATAAGCGAATAAAGATGTTCATAGCTACAATGTTTGTGTGCCAAAGGTCGCCATAGACCCGACACTTACATTGTAGACTAAGTCTAAGCCGAATTCGCCATAACAAGACACGATATACAGTACGTGGGACAGGTGTACTAAATTTGTTCATTACCAGACACTCTTCAGTACCGTATACCAACAATACAATCATTTAATACGTATATCGGCACTTAAATACTTTCAACAACCATAAAGCCATAAGTAACTGATATAAATGACTTATCTGCACATTACAACTTGTTTATTTAAATGCTTACGTAGTAGGCTGGAATCCCCGGCAGACGACATGTTGATCGGCAGGGCGTTCTTGCACAAACAATTTTGTACCGCGAAGTCCGCGCTAAAACGCCTCTAGTACGGGAGGGCGTTGTATTGCTCATAACTCATCAGAAACTTCGAAATAGACAACAAAAAATATATTTCTGGAATTCTTGTGTCATGTAGATTCCATTTCTGTGAAAATCTCAAAAAGGCTAAAAATCGTCAAAAATAGCAGACGACACAATATTTGGAGCTAAGGGCGTTCTTGCACCGACGCGATCTTCATGACACTACATAAATCAAAACGCAATTAGAAAAGAAATAAGCATGTGCTCATAATATGTTCCCCTTTTCATTTTCAAATCCATTCAGTGGTAAAGAGCACAAAAGAGAGAGTAGTAAATAATCCTGTAAAAAAAAGTTGGTAAGAAGAGACAGGAAATAGAAAACAAACGGGTATGTTACCATCTACTTTAGATAGCATTACATAGTTAAGTAATACAGAAATGAAAGAAAATTAGTAACCTATGATTAGATATTAGGAGTCCACACACACTCTCTCTCTCTCTCTCTCTCTCTCTCTATCTCTCTCTCTCTCTGTGTCTCTATCTCTGTGTCTCTTTCTCTCTATATCTCTGTCTGTCTCTGTCTCTCTCTCTCTCTCTCTCTCTTCCTCCCCTCTTTCTCTCTTTCTCTTTCTCTCTCTCTCTTTTCTCTTTCTTTCTCTCTTCTTCTCTATTTTGAATAGAAAAACTGATTGATCAGTCTGTTGAAAGAAAATAATATTTTGAGAAAGTAAATACGCTTCCTCTCACTGTAACATATTGCATTCCCGCTCCGCAAAGTTCTTTTGAAATATCATTTACTTCTATGGACCCACTTTCATTCATGAAACTATATTTATCCTGGAGAGCTATTGTGTTCTCGAGAATAAATATGGTTTCATGAGGTCTATCGATTTCTTCCATATTAAGACCATAACATTTTATTACCACACACAAATCGCGTGCAAGGACTACTTGCTTAAAATATAACGAAAACAATAGAAACAGTCGAAAGAAACGGCATGAGTAATGATTACTCGCCCTTCTCATATTTCATCGTTTGCACATTAAACAAGGAGGGAAGAAAAGTCTCAAAGCCTCTTCTTTGTTATCATAACTAGATAAATAGTGACCGGCTTGTGACGTGTGCGATGCAATACCGTTTTATTTCTTTTCTTGATAATTCGATTTAACGTTCGCGTGGAAATAGAATCTTTATACTATAGAACCGATATGGAAGAAAATTATGAATTATTAAATGGGTTGCATCGCCGAGATGGACCTAGATAAATTAATTGTATCCTTGGCATCTACTATGAACGATTCCTTTAAGGGAAAATGGCGGTTTACAACCACTTCTTTATTTCGAGTGTAAAAGCATAATTAATTTTCATCAGTTTGTCTTTATTTTACTCGGTCGGAAATACCTCATCTATTTCTTGAATTACTTCCGAACTGTTTCAGCGCTATAAATTATGTTACGATAATGTTATGTTGTGATATGTTTTGTGTATTTGCATTTGGAATTTTATTTTTCAAATCCTTAAAAAATACAACAACAATAAAAAAAAAGTCTGACTCCGTAACATTGTTGAAGGTTGATGAAAAAAGCGCGTAAATTTTGTATGAAATGTTACTTATTATATTCCTTCTGCTGTACTTACCCTCTAAACATGCACTCTATCCTGAAAAAAATTCTCACACCACAAATTTATTTATGATTTTATTTGAAGGCATCACTGTGAACACCCTCAAACAGTAAATTCTCCGCACCATATTTGAATTTTCCTGAACGGTTTGCCATGAAAATAAGACATAAAACAGGCTTTTAAAAATATGTCAACACTAATGTCTGGAATGGTATATAGAGCCAATAATGTTGCTTTGTGACAATTTAAATTCACCTAAAATATAATTAAATTGTAATGATATAATTGGGAGAATTAAGGAATCGATTAGATCAGTTTTCCCCAATTTTTATCATTAATAATGCTCTGTTTTCACTCATACTTTCAGATTATTTTTAATTGTACATCTATCATTAAAGTCACTACCTTAGCACCATTTTCTCTCATCTGAATTAAACAATTAAAGTATTTTTTTTACCCAGATTAGAAGCACGCAAGATTACTAAAGATGAACAATAATTTTTTAAAAAGCTAAAATTTCAATCTATCCTAAAATATCAGATAAAGTATGATTTTTTCCTTTAACAAAATTTGCGTGATATATAGGTGAAAAAGTAAAACGCAATACGTGCGATTGTTCTGCCAGTCCAGTACTTCTTCGATATATGCACGGTCACGTATAGCGAACAGATAGCTTCTCACATTGTTTGATTTAGGTCGAGAATCGACCAGCAAAAATCCGGGAAAAGGTAAAAAATTAAAGACGACCCTGGTAGAATATTTGAGAGCTGACCAATGGGAAAGAAGCATGTGGGGGAAAGACCTTTAAGTAAATTGGCTTTACTGGATGAAGTTTTGATCGGACAAGAGTTTTTTTTCAATTACATAATTAATCTTCTTTTTGTTTGGTATCAATATAGGGTGTACTACTGATTGTAGAATAATTATTATCAAATGTATTATACAGGAGAATAATTGATGTCATTTAAAAAAAAATTATATTATTTTCATATGACGGAAATCAAAACAAACAACAAACAAACAACTATCGATTTAATTGAAAGGAACAAGTTTAGCACGTGATTAAAAGGGGATAGCTTGAAATGCGTGCAGGCCTATATTTATATTATGTGTGTCTACGAATTATGAAGTAAAAGCTAGAAACAATTGTGAGATGCACATGGATTTGTTCATGCTACAGAGTAATCAATATTCTGAAGATGGTAAAGGGCACAATTTGCAGCGATTTGCAACAAGGGTGTTAATTGAACTGGATAATTAAATCTAGAGTTACAATTCAAGTGATTGCTTGAATTCAATTTGTTAAACTAGTGACCGAATGTCCAGTTATAAATTGTGATGACCATTT